GGACTCGCCTAGACGATCATAGCATTCGTGAAAGCATCCAACTGGGTTAGTTTGCCAGAAACATTTCAATATACACTTAGCCTTGCGCCATGAGAGTATGTGTGCATCAGCATCAACACTGATGGACGAACATAGTATTAGAGCCGCCACGAGCATCATCGACCCCATTCTCTTGGATGCTATTACCACCATGGCTATTCCAACCTAAACAGTTCTTAGCCTCTCTCTCTTGGCCTTTCTCTCGATAAGTCTTGATAGCTTTGTGATCTAGTTCAGTGATGTGTTGAGATGAACCAATGGAGCAACTTTATATTCTCAAAGATTCATTCAAGTTGTTGAATGAGTTAATAACTAGAAAGGTATGTAGAGGAGAAAGATTATCCTTTTCATTTAATGATATATATCACTTGTCGGATGATGTGGATTTCTAACCAAATTTAGGTCTAGTAAAAAAGTTGCCATCTATTGTGTGAATTTCTTATTATATTCGGGTAGTTGTCAAATTTAATCTCATCAATAAGTTTATTTTTAAAGGGCACTAATTTTCTTTATAACCAAATTTCCCACAAATAGTTTTTTTTTATTTGGGTTGATGCGGAAAGCAGTTAATCGGCAAGGAGAGTGTGCAAAAGTTTTTCACTGAAGCAATGTCGAACAAGAACTAATGTCGACCCAAAAAGAGGATGATGGTTGTTCGATAAACGCTAAAGTTGAAGCACAAATGAAACATGGGAAACAAGATTCGACAAATCTGAAGAAAGAAAATTCCATATTGAAGATAATAATGGTTGTGTTGTTGATATTTATAGTAATAACACACTCTATGAGTTTGCCTTAGAGTATGTTATTTCGAACCAAGTTAAATAATTTTGACTTTGCATGTTAATTAACTTGAACCAAGTTTTGAATTAGTATGGGTTTGGGAGAGCTCGAGCTAAGTGTAAGCTTAGTAATCCATTAGCCAACCTTTAGGTGGTTCACTATTCAGTGAGGGCGCGATAGCTTGGCGACTCCAATGGGTACTTGAAGGAATTCTGAGTGGACTTAGGCCGGATTTTTCTCTTTGTTTAAAAAAATTACGAATTGATGCTTCAAGAAAGCAAAGGGTATATGAAGAAGGATTAATTGGAGCAAAAAGTTGGAAGAGGTTTGATTTTGTTAAAATATGCCTCGAGTTTGAGCCCGAATATGAATTTTGGAATTTTGGAATTTAAAATAATAATAAAGGAATCCACAACCAAGTTGAGATATTAGCTTTTCTATTATACGTTGAGGTCTTTGGCCACTGAGATTGGAAAGAGGACTTTCGGTCAAATTGGATTTTCCTGCACATTGGATTTTACTTTTATTGAACTTCACGTTGGAATAGGAAGCATAAAGAATATATTTTCCTATTGAAGTCATGGTCAAATTTGGAAAGTCCATCATTCACTTGAACTGGAGCATTATTCGGTCAACTTGAATAAATAGATACATATTTGGGTTGTTGGAGTTTTTTATCCGCATATTGATCAACACATACAGAAAGTGCTTCTATGTATTGAAGTGTTGAAGTGCCGTGTGACATTCCGAATTTCGACCCATTTTGGGATTTATAAAACGGGTATTTTGTCAGTGCGCTTATAATAAAATCTCGCCCGGAGCTGATCATACTTGGGTTATTTTTTTAAATTAGAGAGTTCACTAGAATCGCACTTGATCGAATTTGGCCGTTAAATTAAAGCCCGAATTTTAGTGTCGAATTTATCGGAGTTTCTTGAAAAATTTAATTGAGTGGTGTCGATATTATTATGGCCAGCGTCGACATTGCCCGGGATAAGTGAAAAGTGAAATTTGGACCGGATGCGAATTTGGACTAATAGACCTCCCTCGTAGTGTGTTTTATTTAGTGTCTGTGGGCCAAATCCTAATTTATTAATTAGGGCTTTTGTGGGCCATTGGATCGACTTCGAGTTCGAATATGGGCCGTCGGATCACACTCGATTACGTTTGACTTTCTCTCTCTCTCTCTCTCTCTCTCTCTCTCTCTCTCTCTCTCTCTCTCTCTCTCTCTCTCCTCTCTGGCGCACGCTTCCCCCGGTCACATCCCCTCCCCCTCTCTTTTTCCCGCACGTCCTCTCCCTCGGCATGGCTGTCCCCTCTCCTCTCTCTCTTCGTTTTTCTTTTCTTCTTCTCATTCTTCTTCTTCTTCCTTCCTTCTTTCCTTCCTTCCTTCCTTCCTTTCTTCATGCCGCAGCTCCTACTTCGTCTCCTCTGCTCGTCGATCGATGCTTGACCGCTGTCGCACGCAGTCCGCCTGGCAGTTGCGCGTCGTCCACCCTAGCCATCATCTGGCCACCTGTCTCTGCCCAGCCAAGCCGTCCGACCTGTTCCCTCCCTTGGCCGACTGTTTTTCGTGCGAGCTGCGGTTCGCCTGCTACTGGTGCCATCCTCATGCGCTGCCTAGCCACCAGCCAACCAACCTTGCTTCACCCAGCCGCTGGCTCGCCACTACCGCCCCAGCTCCCTCTTCTGGCCGTCTCTCTCTCCCATTTCCTTCTCTGTTTCGCGCGACTAGAGAGCCGTCGGAGGAAAAGTCGCGTCGGCGTCGCCCTAGCCCGAGAACGTCGACAGTGGAGCTGCTGCTCGTAGGTCGTCTGCCTAGTCGCTGGAGCCCAGCCGCTGCCCCGCTCTCTGTTCCGACCCGGCAGCTTCCTTGCCCTATTTCTCCCTCTCGCTGCCTCTATTCCGGCGGTTTACCGCCACCCCTGCCCCGACTCTGGCCACTTGCTTGCCATCAACAATCTGCCCTGTTGCCCGCTCGAGCAGCTGCCTTGCCATCGTCGCCACAAACTGTCGCACGACCACCGGTGCTGCAGCTACTGTTGCTGCTTTGTTCTGGCCCCCTAGCTGTTGCCCTTGCCCCATTTTCTTACTTCAGGTTGAGGTAAACGACACCCTAAACCTTGTCTAGGACTTTGAGTGTTATTAGACTTGCTTAGGGGTCGTTTGGAGTGGAAATGGAGCTGATTAGGGGCTGGTCAAGGTGGATTTAGTAGCCGTTTAACGCGGTTTGGCGACAGAATTGTTAGCTGGTTTGGGACGAGTGAATAGGTCGGAATGTGGGCTGAAACGAGGTGATTTATGATCGATTTTGTGGGTAGTTTTAGAGTCGATTAATGCTGGAAGTTGTGCCGTGGATGATAGTTGTTCATGTGTGATTTAACATTCGTTTGATGGTAGTTCATGTTGATGATTCGTGATGGGGATAACGCGCATTATGTGAGCTGTGGCTTAGTGTGATTGTATGAGGGGCCGTTGATGCTAGAATATCAATTTAGTGTGTGATTGTCCCGAGTGGGCTGATACTTGAATTGTCCCGTGTGAATTAATGGTGGGTTGTCACTGTGGAATGTGACCAAGGCCGGGTGAGTGAGTCATGACTTGAATTGGTGGAATTGTGGTTGTCTTGGTGCGCATGAGTGACGAATGTTATGGTGGTTGATCGAATATCCTTGGGTGATGTTTGAATATGTGATGACATTAAATTGATTGAATAATGCGGCGTATGCACTTGTCTGAATGGCTTGAGGCGTGTTTACGTGGGTCAGTGGAAGGAAAGTTGGGCCTGAGGCGTGTTTACACGGGTCATTAGAAAGAAAGTTGAGCCTAAGGCGTGTTGACGCAGGCTGTAAGAAAGGACCTGAGGCGTGTTGATGCGGGCTGTGAGAAAGGTGCCTGAGGCGTATTGATGCAGGCTGTGAGAATGGGTCTGAGGCATGTTGACGCGGGCTATTGGAAAGGACCTGAGCTGTGTTTACGCGGGTCGTGGATAGTTGGATGGACATGCATGTGGAATGTACTTGATTGAAGTGGATGAATACAAGTGTGTTTGACGCTCGAGTGATTGTGATGTGTGCTTGGAATATTATTGCTTATAGTGATTTGACTAATATGTAGAGTTGGTGCAAGATTAGAAGCAACGTAAGTATGTTTTTGTGATTTCTTGTACATCGATGGTTAGATTGCATGTTGAGGCTGGTCTGGGTACGCATTGGCCTAGGTGGGGTTTAGGTTGTTTACTTATTGAGATTTATCTCATTCTCGCTATTAAACATTTTCAGGTTTGAAGTGGCGAACGGTCGTCATATGCGGTTCAGAGACCGGAAGTGGTAATGGACATCGATGTTGCTTCCCTTCTTGTATGCCCCCTTTTTATATAGTGTTGTAGACTATCCAACCACCATCCCCTTTTTCTGAACGTGGTTTATTCGTTAGTAGCCTGGGTTGTTATGGCGTAAATGAAATTATTGTTTTGTGCTATCCCTCTGTCATTATCTTTTGTCTGGGTTGTTTTATTTTCACTTCCGCTTGCGTTTGTCTTCGCGTGTTTTGTTTGGGTTAGCGACGCGTCCTGGGACGTCGTGTTCAATATGACCGTCGAAGGGGTGTCGCGAGCCTGTTGGGGGTTTGTGGCGTGACATCCCCCGTTGATTTGGTATCAGAGCAAGGTTAGCTCGATCCAAGATGGTTGAAGCCTGGAGTGATAAGGAGTGATGACTTTGGGGTAGTTAGTTAGGGAGACTCGTGTGCCATGCGCACCGTAGACTGTGTGATTGTGGTTGCTGAGTCATCTTATGCATTAATGTGTGAGGTGCAGGTGCATCAGGACTTGAGGTAAGTCCATGAACTTTGTTGGTTTTGATTAAGTGTTGTTTGTGATTGTCTGCCTGTTTAGTGAATTATTATTGTGATTCACTGCCTAGGGCTTTAGACTGATATAATTGGCCTAAGTCTCTAATTCCTGAGTGGAATTATAGTAGGTAGACGAGTGTAAGACCCAGTGAGAATGAGCAGTCGAGGTAAAGGTCGAGGTCATGTAGCCCCACAAGCGAGAGTTGCAGAGGATCCCCGGATTGATGGAATTCTAAGAGTACTACAAGAAGTCGGGATTTTAATGGGTAGACAGACTAAAGAGCGGAATGCTAGTGTCGTTGCTGCTACTGTGGCTGATGTTGCAGCCGCCAACAGAGCCAATGGGAATAATGGCAATCATGGGAACCATGTGAATGATGGGAACCCTGGTCAAGGACAGGTAAATGCAAACAAACCGATGTCCAAGCTGGTCGAGCAATTTTTGAAGTTGAAGCCTCCGAAGTTTGATGGGAGAGATGATACTGAGGCTACACCCTGATGGACGGAAGAACTAGAAAAGGCTTTTGAAGTACTGGGGTGTACCAAGAGAGAAAAGGTAATGCTGGCAGTCTACCAGCTTCAAGGAAATGCAAGTGATTGGTGGAGGGCCACCAGAGGTCAAGTGTTCCCTGTTGGTATTTCTTCGACTTGGACTATTTTTACCGAGACCTTTAATAGTAAGTATTTCTCAGAAAGCGCCCGAGAATAGAAATTAGCAGAATTCATGAGGCTTCGCCAGTGTTAGATGTCGGTGGACCAGTATGAAGCTGAGTTTGTAAAGCTGTCCAAGTTTGCCCCGAGAATGATAAAGGACCCCTTGGACAAGGCCCGGAGGTTTCGAGATAGGCTGAAGCCAGACCTTCGCAGTCAGATAATATCACTGAACTTGAGGGGTTATTACGAGATTTATGATCGGGCTCAGGCAATTGAGCATGATTTGCTAGATCGAGCTGCCGCCCCTGGATCGCAGTATGCCCCGGCTAGGGACAATCGTCACGTTGGAAAGAGGCTAATGATGAGAAATAGTCGCCTCGTCCCTCCCGTTAGGAAGAATATCGGGAAGCCGGCTCACCATTTGAATACGACTTGTCGACTTTGTAGGAGAAGACATGGAAATGGGCCTTGCCTGAGTAGGGGTGGAGTATACTTTGGATGTGGTGGGCAAGGTCACCAAGTGAGAAACTGCCCGAACCGACAAGTTAGGCCGCCGATACAACCGTGGTAACTGCGAGTAGGACATTAAGCGGGAACCGCTCCATCGAATAATTAGAATCAACTACGGGCGTAAGGAAAAGTGTAAGTTGTGGCTGGGAAGGAAGCGGATGACTTGTCTTAAGGGTCTAAATGCGATGCATAAGGATATTTGGTGTATTAAAAGTGATATTTTTTTGAAATTTTAGATTTGAATGGTCATGTAAGACATATAATTGCTCATGGTAAATTGATGCAATCAGTTTATGTATTTTGAAATTACTGATGATACCCTTTGACAAGATTTGGGTGAATGAGTTATCGCTTAAAAATTTCAGATTTTATACAAAACAGGAGTGATTTACTTTGGGAGACCGTTGGATTGAAATTGGATGGATTGAGCTTTGTTATTGAGGTGTAGAAAGATAACTATCTTGTGGTTAACTCGTTGGTTAAGGAGCCGAGGCTAGAAGACATAGCCGTGGTGCGTGATTTTCCCGATGTCTTTCCTCAGGAATTGCTGGGATTGCCATCTAATAGAGAAGTGAAGTTTGTGATTGCGTTGGCCCCAGGAACAAAACCGATCTCGAGAGCACCCTATAGGATGTCGTTGTCAGAATTAAAAGAATTAAAGGTTCAAATACAGGAGTCGTTGGATAAGGGCTTTATTCTCCCGAATGCGTCTCCATGGGGAGCGCTAGTTTTATTCATGAGGAAGAAGGACGGATCGTTAAAGTTGTGCATTGACTATAGACAGTTGAATCAGGTGACCATTAAGAATAAGTACCCATTGCTAAGGATAGATGACCTATTTGATTAGTTGCAAGGGGCGTCGATATTTTCAAGGATCGACTTAAGACAGGCTATCATCAATTGAGGATTAAGAAGAAGGATGTGTGGAAGACAGCAGTTACGAATTGGCCAAAACTGACGACAGTGATAGAGGTTCGAAGTTTCTTCGGTCTGGCAGGGTGTTACAAACGCTTCGTGGAAAGGTTCTCGGCATTAGCGACACCGTTGACGCAGTTATTTAAGAAGGAAACGAGGTTTGAATGGACGGATAAGTGTGAAAGAAGTTTCCAAGAGTTAAAGCAGAGATTGACGACCACGCCAGTGTTGACAATCCCGTCAGGTCCGGGAGGATATGAGATTTATAGTGACGGATCGCGAAGGGGATTGGGATGCGTGCTAATGCAACATGGAAGAGTAGTGGCATACGTATCGCGATAATTAAGACCGTATGAGCTGAATTATCCGACGCATGACTTGGAATTGGCCGGGATTATATTCGCTCTTAAGATTTGGAGACACTACTTGTGTGAGGAGAAATTTCAGATTTATATGGACCATCAAAGTTTAAGGTACTTGTTCTCCCAAAAGGAATTGAACATGAGACAACGTTATTGGATGGAACTCCTTAAGAATTATGATTGCGAGATTCTGTATCACTCCGGAAAAGCTAATAAAGTAGCGGATACACTAAGCCGAAAATCGAGCGTTGCGCATATGAGGGTCAAGGAATGGACTCTGTTGGAGGGAGTTCGGGACTCGGAATTTAAGTTTGAAGTGAGTCATGTCTAAAGTCTGCTTGCCGCATTGAGGATTGAACCGGAAGTCTAGACTAAGATTAAGGCTTTACGATCGACGAACCCGGAAATTCAAAAGGTTTTGAAAATGGATGTCGCAAAAAAAAAACCGGATATTTAGGTATCCGAGGATAGGATTCTGAAGTTTCGTGGACGGTTGTGTGTACCCAATGATGCAAAACTTAAAGTGGAGATTTTGTCTGAAGCACACCGTAGTAATTATAGTATTCACCCGGGTAGTACAAAGATGTATCAGAACTTGCGATAGCATTATTAGTGGAACGGCATGAAAGTGGATGTAGCCAAGCACGTGGCCAAGTGTTTAACATGCCAACAAGTGAAGGCGCAGCATTGCAAGCCGGGTGGAATGTTGCAGCCATTGGAAATCCCCAAGTGGAAATGGGAACATGTCACAATGGACTTTGTAATAGGATTACCGAGGAGCCAGAGGGGTCACAATTTGATTCGGGTGGTAGTTGATCGATTGACAAATTCAGTACATTTTCTGCCGGTGCGAAAGGATTTTTCCTTGGAAAGGTATGCCGAGATATACATGCAACAAATAGTTCATCTTCACGGAATGCCAGTGACGATCACTTCAGACCGTGATCCTAAGTTTACTGCCGCTTTTTGGAAAAGTCTTCATACGGCATTAGGAATGAAGTTACAATTTAGCATGGCCTATCATCCGCAGACAGATGGCCAGTTTGAGAAAACGATTCAGACTTTAGAAGATATGCAGCGAAGATATGTATTGGATTTTAAGGGTAGTTGGGAGGAACAGTTACATTTGGTTGAGTTTGCTTGAACAATAGCTACAAGCAGAGTATCAGAATGGCTCCGTTTGAAGCGTTATATGACAGAGCTTGTAGAACGCCGGTGTGTTGGGATAAAGTTGGTAAAAGGAGCATCACAAGTCCAGAGTTAGTTCAGCAATCAATCGAGGCAATCAAGGTGATTCGAGATAGACTTAAGACCGCTCAGAGCTGCCAAAAGAATTGTGCAGACCGGAGATGTAGGCCTTTGGAATTTCAAGTGGGGTACCACGTTTTCCTCAAGTGTCGCCGATGAGTGGATTGTCATGGTTTGGCAAGAAAAGAAAGTTGAGCCCGAGGTATGTGGGTCCATTCGAAGTCTTAAAGAGAATCGACACTTTAGCCTATCGTCTCGCGCTACCGTCAAATTTGTCTCAGGTTCATAAAGTATTCCACGTGTTAATGTTAAGGAAGTACGAACCAGATCCGACCCACGTGCTGAATTATGAAGAAATAGATGTGAATGACAGAGTATCGTACGTGGAAAGGCCAGTAAGGATCAAGGAGAGAATGGAACGAATGTTGCGGAACTAGACAATTCTGATGGTCAAAGTAATTTGGGAGCATCATGGAACCGAATGTGTGACATGGGAAAGCGAAGAGCTAATGCGACACCAATACCCCCATTTGTTCGAATAACTGGGTTGAGTTGTAAATTTCGAGGACAAATATTTGTAAGGGAGAAGAGTTGTGACATTCCGAATTTCGACCAATTTTGAGATTTATAAAACGGGTATTTCGTCAGTGCGCTTATAATAAAATCTCGCCCGTAACTGATCACTCTTGAGTTATTTTTTTAAATTAAACATTTCGCTAGAATCGCACTCGATCAAATTTGGCCGTTATTTAGAGCCTGAACTTTGGTGTCGAATTTCTTGGAGTTTCGTGACAAATTTAATTGGACGGTGTCAATATTATTGTGGCCAGCGTCGACATTGCCTGGGATAAGTGAAAAGTGAAATTTGGACCGGGTGCGGATTTGGACCAGTAAACCTCCCTCGTAGTGTATTTTATTTAGTGTCTGAAGGCCAAATCCTAATTTATTAATTAGGATTTTCATGGGCCATTGGATCGACTTCGAGTTCGAATATGGGCCGTCGAATTACACTCGATTACGTTTGACTCTCTCTCTTTCTCTCTCCTTTCTAGCGCACGCTTCCTCCGGTCACGTCCCCTCCCCCTCTCTTTTTCCCGCACGTCCTCTCCCTCTGCATGGTTGTCCCCTCTCCTCTCTCTCTTCCTTTTTCTTTTCTTCTTCTTCTTCTTCTTCTTCCTTCCTTCCTTCCTTCCTTCCTTTCTTCATGCCGCGGCTCCTACTTCTTCTCCTCTGCCCGTCGACCGATGCCAGACCGCCACCGCACGCCGTACGCCTGGCCGTCGCGCGTCGTCCGCCCCAGCCACCATCCAACCGCTCGCCTTTGCCTAGCCAAGCCGTCTAACATGTTTCCTCCCTTGGCCGACTGCTTCTCGCCCGAGCTGCGGCTCATCTGTTGCCGGTGTCGCCATCATGCGTTGCCCAGCCACCAGTCGGCCGAACTTGCTTCACCCAGCCACCGGCTTGCCACCACCGTCCCAGCTCTTCCTCCTGGTAGTCTCTCTCTCCCCTTTCCCCTTCTGTTTCGCGGGACCAGAGAGCCGCCGGAGGAGAAGTCGGGCCGGCGCCGCCCCAGCCCGAGAACGCCAATAGTGCAGCTGCTGCTCGCAGGTTGTCTGCCCAACCACTACCCTGCTACCATGTTCCGGTCTAGCAGCTTCCTTCTCCTATTTCTCCCTCTCGCTGCCCCTGTTTCGGCAGTTCCCTGCCACCCCTGCCCCTACTCCAGCCACTTGCTTGCCATCACCAGTCCGCCCTACTGCCCGCTCAAGCAGTCGCCTTACCATCGCCACCACGAATTGCCGCACGACCG